ATTGCGGCCAAATCTCATATTTGATTAGCTCACCTTTGACAAGAGCATCGAGGGAGTAGAATTTCTTGATCTAAAATAACCCCGGCTTCCTAAACAACCAGGGGCCTGGGGACAAGTATGGCAAGAACCTCTCAGTTGATCCACCGCCAAATCTTATCCTCAGGTCTTGAAGTTAGTCAACTTGACGATCGTCTTATAATTGTCGGTCGCTAGTCAACTTGATGATCGTCTTATAATTATCGGGCGCTCGCTAATTTCTTGTTCCTTATCGCCCGACAACATGGTTGCCATATCGAGTTTATGTTACCAGCCCGGGGACCAAATCAAGTCACATGTTGTATAGTAAACCTCAATTCCACGACCGATCTTTACCACCAAGGTCAGTCGAGACCACAAGTTGTTGGGTTCTATTAGGAACATCGACTATGTGCACATTCAAATCTATTGAAAAATAAATCCTAACGCAGTGGTTTTTGCCGACTCTGAGACGTTTCTGATTTCCACTGTAGGAGACATTCTAAACCGCAAAGTCCATTAGGCAGCAGGACTTGGCCTCATTAATGCATCTCCAGTTGCTCGTCGGGCTCGTCTGATCTTCTCGGTCCTTCAGTGGGTTAGCCGGACTGTTCGGACCGCTTGGGAACCGCCTTGGATCGAACCGGGGCTTCTGGACCAAGTTGAATCAATTTGGTACACCATTATACTGATAGCTAAGAGAGATAAATATAATTATTTATTTATTTTGTATGAACAATATAGATGTCAAATATAATCTCAAGACATGATTAATTTGATATATTATAAAAAATAATAAAATAAATAAAAAAATATTAATTTTAAAATATATTTATAATCAAATTAGTAAATTTTTCTCATTATTGATGGGCCGGTTTTCGTCCAATAGAGTCCCAATATATTACCCAAGCCCATTGTTGTTTGGACAAGCTAACTGAAGTCCACAAACCCGAATATAAAATTATAGTCTTCTGGCCGCAGCGTCGTCTCTTTTCTTCTTCAGTCTTGTGAAACTTCGGACAAGAAAACCCTAGGAATCGAGAAAATGCAGGAGAAGAAAGGGGAAACAGCCTCCAACAAAAATCCTAAGAAGGCCAATCTCTTGGATCATCACTCTATCAAACACGTTTTGGATGAATCAGTTACCGAGGTTGGTTTTTAGGAAAGGCACTCACTCTATGTAATTAGTTTTCATTTTGCTATCGAAAATTTATGTTCTCTTTTTCTTTTTCTTTTTTCTTTTCTTTTCTTTTCTTTCCCTTGTTGTCTAGTTCGGTTGTTTATTGGTGGAGGGAAATAATTGGTCCAGGGTTTTGATTTGTTTCTCTGTTGCCAGGTCGTGACTAGCAAAGGATATCCGGAGGATGTTAGGCTGAGTAACATTCGGTTGTTTCTTGGGGCGATCATAATTGTGATCGCGCTTTTTGCCCAGTTTTACAACAAGAAGTTTCCGGAGAATCGCAATTTCCTCATCGGTTGCATTGCATTATATCCTTTTTTTTATGGTTTTTTGTGGTCCGACTTCTCAATTGGAGATATGGAAAAATGAGATTTTTTATAATGAAAAGAACTGTCACTTTTGGGGAAAATTATAAGAATTTTTGAGAGCTTGAGTAATTGGAAAAATGAACTGCCTGGATGATTTACTGGTAGTTTAGAGTGTTGAAATTTGAGGACATTGAAATTTTAGCTAAAGTGCATAATGACTTTTGGGATAATTAGGCTGCCAATTTATTGATTCATCTTTTCGGGTTCATGTATTATCAATTACCACAGTGTTTTTGTTGTTTGATCTTTAACACTGGCAAGTATGTGATATTCAATGGGATATTGCAACTGATTATCTACCTGAAGGAAAAAAATGCGATCTTGTTCACATATCCTCCACCTGTAAGTTTCCAGCGTACTCTTTTTTGAACTGTGTAATAGCATGATGGAGTTATTAGTATTTAGATAATTTATATAAGAACTTATTTGATTGGTGTTCAATCTGCATTAGATTCATATGTCAGTGTTATAACATTTTTTTTTCTTAAGGATTTTAAATTTTTTTGTGTATTTTTCCATCATTAATTACTTGCTAGGCTCCCGGTACTGTTCTGAAACTAGTAGAAAATATGATTTTACTTTGGAGGCAACTCTGACAGGGATTATTTGAATATGATTCATTGAGATCTCCCGCTGATTCCTCATTTCTTTTCCATGTGTGAACCACGACCTGCCCAATACATCGTGCATTGCTGTGATTAGATTTTCAAAAGATGTATGGTAGATCATTTTGTTAGCAGGGTGTGTATGTGTCAGAGTCGTTTCTCTTTGTGTAAGGGGCCAACAGTTAAATTTAATTGCTCAGGTGTCAACTGCACTTGATGAAACGAGGCTCATTCCTTGACTTCCAAATGATTTGATTTTTGTTTCGTGACTGTGAATTTGGAATCTTGATAAATACAGTAAAATTTTGTCCCGTAAGTTTAGTACAATTTTATTAGTTTTCAAATTGCAATCTGAATTTATTTTTCAATTTTTCAAAATAGCGACAACTTAAGTCTCGACCCTTAATTAATTTCATCATATAATGAAATCGATGTTTAGATGTTTTCTACTATTTCCAGTGAACTCTGTGGCCAGTTTCTTATATGTGATGATTGGAGATTAATATACTATTATTGCTTCATTATTTGATGTTCTCCAGATTTATTTGCTGCTTGTGGTGTTATCGTATATTTTAAGATGTTTGATGTTGTTTTCTCCATGTAAGGAAAACATTAATGGACCTCTGTATGCGAATCTAGTTTATCTTATGGTTTTCGTTTTGAACTAAAGAGATGGGGATTCATTGATCAAGCTATTGAGCTTCCTGAGCTATTGTCTGATATGCTTACTATCAATTGTGGGTTAAGGCATGTCATTGCAGATTTATTGACCCTTTTGTTATTGAGATTTGCTGAAGTTAAGCGTATTTATTTGCTCAAGGTTTTATTGCTGTGACTGGATTGATGTTTGAAGAGTGGTCATGACTCATGCGAATGATTAGTGGCACAGATTTCTGTTACACGGAAGTGCTTGAGAAACTGTTATTTAATTTATGTCGTATTCTGTACTAAAAGTCGGTCTAGGCGGACGCCTAACCGCTAGGCGTCACCTAGGCACCACAACTTTTGCTTAGGAGGTCGTTCTAGGCGTTCAAACGATTAGGCGGCGCCTAGGCTCTCGAACAATTATGCGGCGCTTAGGCGGGCTAGGTGGTTGTAAGCTACTCACGTCTAGGCGGCGTCTAGGCGCCCTTGTATTTTTTATTTTTAATTTTTTATTTAATTTAAAAAATTAAAATAACTCTAATTTTTACTCATGAAATTTTATATTAATTATTAATAAAAATCTTAATAATTATATCACAGTTAATACAATAATTATGATGCATTAGATTTTGCATAATCCTTGTATTTGACCATATTAATTAATATATTATATATAATATATCTTATATCTTCTGTATTATATTATGTGTGTTATATTATGTATGATGATAAACGTAAATAAATTTATTAATATTTTCTCGACCCCGCCTAGGCGCTAGGGCCCAGTTCACCGCCTAGCTTGCGCCTAGCGACTTTTAGGTCCCGTAGATGTCGTGGAAAGCTCATTGATAATTCGGTTTAGTATTTATTCTGGCAATCCTTTATGGTTCAAGTGTTTACTTTTCTCTTTTTGATTAAAAATCTGATTTTCTGTTCTCAATACCAACATGAGCTTTTTAATTCAGGATTTTTCCATTTTAAGAAAAGTTGTCAGAATGCATTGGGTATCCTTCTGGCTCCTCTTTTCTGAAGCTTGATCTTACTGAAGTCCTAAAAGATTGATAGACGAAGTAAAAGAAACAAGATATTTGAAATGTTGTTGCGGTGAAGCAATATATGAGATTCTTTGAAATTTTGTGGAGTTTTTCACTGTTGGAACACATATGCATGTATTTTATCTAATATTTTATCTTGCATATTGAACCCTCTGCTAGATGAAATTTAATTTGGAAATTGAAAGTTGTACCTGTATTGCAGACTAGGATACATGTCACATGGACAATCTCTAATTATAAAGTTTGGGCTTGCTAAATTATACTATTTTGTATGCAGCAATTACAGCTTGGTGCCTAAGTAACCCATGCTTGTAATGTCTTTTCTTACTTTAGTTTGATTAGGTGTAGAGTATGATGTGATCACCTTCCTGGGGACTTTTATTGTTTTGTTAGGTAACTCAGAGTGCTCATGTTTTATCTTTATAATTATGTTCCCAAGTCGGGTGTTGCTTTTGTTTCACCCCTTCTATGGAAGTCAATTCTCTTCACTGATAAAAAAAGCAGTGTCTAACCACGTTGGGAGTATAATGGAACAATTTTCAGGCCTGGGAGCATGATTGGATAATGAAATGTTTCATTTGTGTGGTTGGTTAATATTGATCTCACTGAAATGTGAACTGAAACAAAAAATTTCAATGTCATCTCATTTCACTTTTTTCTCTACAGACCCGCTAACATAATTAAACGGTAGACATCAAACATTATTATTATTATTATTATTAACAAAAGAACACTTCATCCACTCATATATTTCTATCTACCAAATCACTATCAATACTCAATTATTTTATATCTCATGAAATCATTGTATTTTTACCTCATACAATTCACAATCTCAAATTTGTCTCACTTTTTTTTTAATATATATATAAAAGCGTTTTCCACTTTTCTATCTACCTTTTTCTTACAAAAATTTCAAGAAAAATAAAATCTTCTATCCAATCATAGCCAAATTAAGTGATCTACTTTCTTGTTGAATTGTGACAAAGTTTTGATTACCCTAAAACATAATAGAAGTTTAAAGGCCTTGAAGTTATAGAAGTTTTCTGTCGACAATTGTATGCATTGGTCTATGTCGCGTCGAATATGTCTTTAGATAACTCTTTCTCAGTTGTAAAGCTTTTTATCCTGATTACCATGGTTCTTTTAATGAATGATGTTAGTTATTAGCACATTGTCTGTACCTTTTGCTTTGGTAATGAAAACTCTTGTTGGGATATCTTGTATGTATTGCAGGTCAAGGCAAAGATAGTTTTCGGGTTTGGTGCAATTGGCACCATTACATCACAAATTTGTTTTCATATGTTGGCTTTGCTTTCAAATTAAATTTGAGGATTGTAATCTATATTGCTGAATAGTGAACAAACAGTAGCACGATGGCCGATGCTCAAATACCACTTGACTGATCCTTTTGCAGTATATGTTTATGAGATGCTTGATAATAAACTCATCTAAGAATCCTGCTACTTGCTGCATGTGGCTGGAAGCTTAGATTTACTACGCTTTTTTCCCTTGGCTTAACATTTTGACTTAGTTACCGAGTATTGCATTCATGATGAGTTTCTTTGTTAGGAAATTTCTTTTTGAATCTAAATCATGTTAATTTGGTTTTTTATGACAAATTACATCTTTTTAGGTGTTTTTTTTTATTGGGTTACTCAGTTATTAAGAATGCGATTCCATACATGAGATGTGGTGAAGCCTGGTTCCTCGTGTATCTGTGGCGAGGCACAGATGGTTTTTGTATTGTGATGATCATGATGGTTTTTGTTACTAGATCTTTTAGAGAAACTGAAATATTTATGGCATTTTCTATTCTACAGGACTCTTTCAACTCGACTGGCTTAATCATAACTTCAAAGCTACCAAGATTTTCAGATTTATACTCCCTCACCATAGCTAGTGCAGACCCCAAATCAATATCCGCAAAACCACCTGTTGAATTCACCAAAAGCGTGACCCAGTGGTAATTTCTGGATTCTGCTGCCAGAAAATAAATAAAATTTATATTTGTTTGTCTCAATTCGTAGTGTTTGTTCTTTGGCTACTGATCACGTATTGTTGTAGGTTCACCAAAGATGGCGTTTTGGTAGAGGGTCTTTTCTGGAAGGATGTCGAGGGACTAATGAATGATTATGCAAAAGAAAGTAAAAAGAGCAAGTAATATTCTGATTTTTGGGACATCATTGTTGAGACCAAATGTGGTTGCATACAGTGTTACTTCGCATAGATGATGTTTTTAATTGAAACCATATTCTCGCTCTTACGGATTTTGTATCAAACTAATTGAACTTTTGTGGTGGACTAAATTACGAGCAATGGTTCAACAACGTTTATTTGAATAATTACTGTGTTCTCGTTTTCTAACTATTATATCATCTATGCCATTCTATGTGTTATTTAAACATATAATTAACCAGTGATTTTTTTTTTTTTTTCCAAAACAATTGAAACTTCATTCAACAACAAGAAACACAAGCCGAGAGACTAAGGGGGCGATTGGATATTATTTCAACAGTAAAAAAATCAATCAAAATTCAAATTTAATTCAACTTTAATTCAATTTACTATTTTCAATTTTATCAATATAATTAAATAATACAACCAATCATTCTTACACATTACATCAACTCTAATTCACTATTCATTCATTCACATAATTTTAATTAACCATCATTTCCAATCATTTTTCTCCTACTTTACATCAAATCAACTTTAATTATTTTATTTAAATATTAATTTAATATATCCACTAACAACTAACCATATCATTTTTTTTTCAAAATTAACTATAGTTAAAACCAAACCAAATAAAAACTAGTTGAATTTATAAACAATCACACCATAAATAGTCCCAATACTTTCAGTACAATCACAGAGGCCATCCCCATGATGACTTAGACTCCCACAAGCAATAAAACCTAGTCCTAAATAGTCCCAATACTTTCAGTACAATCACAGAGGCCATCCCCATGATGACTTAGACTCCCACAAGCAATAAAACCTAGTCCCAATACGTTCAGTACAATCACAGAGGTCATCCCCATGATGACATAAACTCCCACAAGCAATAAAACCTAAGAAAACAGATGCAGATAGAGGCAGTCATATCGGAACCCTCTACCTACTCCAAACCAGCCAACACACATAAGACCCAATACATAAACTCAAAGAGCAACTGAACAGAAAACAATACAACCAAAGATGAAAAAAGATGCACTACTGAACTGAAGGACCTAGCAACATTTTCCTTCATCACTGATCTTCCCTTGAAGTCCTGCTGCATGGAAATTCCACCCAGTCTGCATGAGCTGAGCTAAGAACCACACGATCCGACATTCACACATTTTGGAATTTTCAGAGATTTATGGATTCCCACAACCACCAAAGTATGTATATGGTTAGCTCAATCCTTGCCTCTGATGCTGCTCATATCCACATACATTCCACCACCATAGTTTGAAGGAGCCTATTACAACTATCTCATTCCAGCAAACATGAGCCAACTTCCAAATCCTTTGAGCATGGTTGCAGTGAAAAAGGACATGTTCCACACTCTCCATCTCCTCCCCACATCCATGGCACCAAGGATCAATGTCTAAACCCCTCTGCTTCAAATTTAAGCTCACAGGTAAAGAGCCATTATAACATTTCTAAACAAAATGCTTTAGTTTGGGTTCGATCCTTATGGCCCCGCTTCTACCACTAACCCTCTTCTCCCACTTGGCAGTTTCACTACTTTCAGCAATGTCCAATTATCTGAGTTTACAAACCACAACTTAGAGTAAGAACTGTCAACTGAAAATTTACCCTTGTTGTATAGAGTCCAACTCCATTTGTCTCTCAAATCAGGATCCAGAGTGTCAATCCCTAAAATAGCCCATGTATCAATCTGAGTAAAGCATTCAACAATCAACCTTCCATTCCAAGTTCTTCCATCTTCCAGAATCAGCTCATCAATCCATTTTACTCTGCTCACTCCCATTACAGTTTTTTCAGGTACTCCAGAATCAATGCCAGGGATCCAGGGGTCATTCCAAACAATGATGTGATTTCTTGTTCTAAGCACCACCCTGAAGTATTGCTTGAACTTATCACTCACCACCAACCAATTAGACCACAAGCAAGAAGCATTGTAATGTTTTTTTGCTTGATGTACAGAGCAAACAGAGAAGTACTTCCCTTTAAGCACTTTAACCAGTGATTGCTTAGTGGTTTTTTTCTATATTGATTTTATTTAAATACATTTTTTAATTTTCAAAACGGTAAGAACTCAAATATATAAACATGACGAAAGTTTACAACGGGGATCAACTAATCTCATACAATAAGGAACCAGAGCATCACACATAATTTGTGGCATAGACAACCAACTAAAAAAACTACAATACAAAAACATCACACGTAATTTGTGGCCTAGACAATTAGGTAAAAAAAACTACAATACAAAGAGCTAAAGGCACCGCAACAAGCTTCGAAACCTATAGCACAAGACAAACCAGCAAAAATATGAAAAAAGAAAAAAACTAAAAATAACTAACAAGAAAGGAGACAAGAAAACACTAAACCAAATGACTTAGTTTCTTTTCTCCTCTCCCAAGCAAACAAACTAAATAGTAGAAGAAGAAGCATGAACAACTAAGAACTCCCTTCAGTCTACCAAAGCAGCCTGAATGATTGATCCTTGTGGCATCCTCTCCTTGGAACATCCACAAGTTTTTGGCCTGCCAAAGCCACCAAAGAATATATTTGTTAACTGATGGAGATGAGGACAAGCATGATATTTGAGATCTTTAATTTAAGTACTTATTTTTTATTTATTGTTAATATTTTAGCCCTAGATTTGTTAGTAATGTTATTTAATTATTCTAGTATTTTATTTGGCAGGAAAGATATTTAATTATCCTTTACTCCATAGACAAGATTAGGCCTATTTAGGAGTTCTATTTGTAGACTCCTATTCTTTTGTGTTTCAATCGGTTGGATTTGATTAGTAAAGATATTTGAGAGCGTTTCTCTTGTTTTATCCCTTTTATTTACGCTTTCGCTACGTCCGTTACTATCAACAGACCAGTGTGATTATTACATGATGCTGCCCAGACAGAATGATGCCGACGACAGGCGCGACGCCTTGATAGATGCGTTAAGACGCCAAATCAAGGTGTTGGGAAGCCAAGGCGAGGCGTTGGACGCTAAGTTGTAAATCTAGCTGCAGGGCTCGAGGATATTCGATTGGTTCTCCATACCTCTCTTCATGGCAAGCAAACAAATCGTGAGCCAGATGGAGGATGTGGCTGCTGAAGGGGAATGGACGGTGGACGCAATCGGGGCACACACGGGGCGCTCCGCTCCTGATCGCCGCAATCGTTTGTCGATGGCGGTGACTTTGACATCACCATATCTGAGTTACATCCTTTTGGTAATGTAGCGCCCGCTTACTTATCTTTAGAAAAACACTAATTTTCAGAAATAATTTGAACTTTTAGAAATATTTTCCAAAAATATCTTCCTCGGGCACTACTAAAAAATCTCTTTCATTTTAAACATTCGAGACATAATGAAAACATCCAAAACATTCGACGTGTCAATATAAAATACATAATTTCAGAACATGAAATACTCAAATCCAATAAGGAGTTCATAACATTTTTGCGGAAACAAAAACTTAATCAAACGATGACCACGCCCGCCCACTCGTGTCCATCGCCAGCTGCTTAAACTGAAAAACAAGGGGGTGAGAAAATCCTCTATGCTCAGTGGTAAAAGCATACTATGCATAAATTCAGTATAAGCACAACTAGCATAATAATCATATGAATATGAACATCATTATCACACAAACTGTCATCGTTACACAGACTATCACCAGCTTCAAGCCCTCAGGTAAACTCGGATTAGTGACCCTTATTTCAAGTCTCCATAATCTACCCGACTTTTGACTATTATACACCATTAACCTAAGTTCATGAACTCTTGGTCTCGTAACTTGTTACTACTAGTGCCATCGACATCAACTGGTTCCGCTAGTAAGTAAACCCTGCATCAACCGCTTCTACTAGTGTCGTCAGCATCAACCAGTACAACTAGTAGAAAACTGCACACAGCTCAGCCCACCGACCTATAATCACATACATATCAATACTATACTACCACATATTTATAAAGAATAAACCATAGTATAGAATCCCCACCTTATATTTTAATGAAGATGATATGCGGATGCTTCAATGGGATGCTCGAGGGCTCAACTCCTTGGGATCTACATTAATAGAAGCATAGCTTTGGTAAATAACTAAACTTAACTTGGTAAAATAATATACCATCTTGGAGAATTTTCTTAGCTTAAGGTTCTTGACATAGTGAAAATTTTTCTTAATTTTGGAACTCTCGACTAAAGGTATTTTAAAGCTCAGAAAAAGGCTCTCGAAAATTAAAAATTTAAGGTCCGACTTGAAAATAAGTTCAAGTCTCGAAAATGGCTCGGGGCACGTGGTTCGATGTCGGCAAGGTCCGGCTCGCTGGGTGCGGCTTGGGTCTTGACTGCTGCTGGCTCGGTGCGGCTGGCGCTGGCGCAGCTTGACCGCGGCTGGCATTAGTCGCCTGGGCGCGAAGGCTGCAGGTTGCCCGAGGCATTCCCCTGCTCGATGTGGCCTGGTTCCCCCTCGTGCTACGGTTGGCTTCGCGTGCGCATGCTCGCAGGACGGTTGCTAAGGTATAGGGTCGCGCGCACTGGAATGAGGGATTTCGTGCACGCTGCGAGACTGGGACATGTCATTGTCGCGGGCATCAGGGCTACACCCTGTCACGGGAACTGCGCGTGCTCGCGCTTGTTGGGACACTCGCGAGGAGACGCGGGGAGTGGCGAGCGCTTGCACTTAGATAGTAGCAGCAATGGCACGCAAGGCACTTGCGCGATCGACGTGGCCAGCGCTCGATTGCACCTGCGCGCTACTGTTTTTTTGGGTCGACACGACGCCTGGGCCACGACCTCCCGGCGCGTGGCCGGGTGCGGCTCTGAGATTTCAAGGCACAACAAGGGTTCAAATCAAGGATTTTGAAAAAGTTTCTCAAGGTATAAAAACATCAACACAAATTTTAGATTTTTCTCACCAAATCACCAAGTTTTACAAGGCATTTTCAATGCTTAACAACACAATTTTGAATGGCTTAAAGGCTCAAGTTTTTAAACATAACAAGGCATAAAAGCACATGAATCAAGGCTAACATCTCGAGGTACAGGAGAGTCCAAAACTTCATAATATTTCAAGTAACCCTAAGAATTTCTCTTCTCAATTCTTAATCTCTTTTAAGACTTAAACAGCTCAAGAAACAAAGGAGGCCTTCTCCTTGAATCTACAAGCAAGGAAGGAGGGAGATTCAGATTTGAGGGCTTCGTCAGCTCGCGTGTTCGGCTACTTCGCTCGCGGGTCTCCTTCACGGCCGGGTCTCGGTCGCGTGTGCGATCTTGGTGGCGTCCTCGACGTGGGGCTGTGAGTTAACGACGTGGCTTCGGAGTGCTCGCGGGTGCTCGGATGTGGACGGATTGCCTCTGTCACGACCGCTCTTCTACTATTGAATATTCTCATATTTTGAAATACGACTCACTTTTTCTCAAACTAACATAAAAAAAATTATGGTTTATTTGTAAAAATAACGCGGATAATATTATTTATACATATCAAAACGATCCAGAAACATAAACAATTTACAAATTTTTACATATATTAGAATTCACAAAATAACCCAAACTACAAAAAGGACGTAAGCTCTTTGTCAGCCCAACAGGTCGTCATCCATGTACACATCCTCAAAACTTCATGGATCCAACAGTCCGTCATGCTTTTATCAGATATCAGCATGCTCACCTACAATGCATAAATTACATGAGCTAGAGCTCAATAAGAAAAAGCCATGCATGTCAAGAATTTACATCAACTGATATGCATTACAACATGAAATGCAAATGCTCGTAAATAAACTTATGCTTTTATTATTTTATTCTTGAAAACTTTCTTTCTTGGGCCCTTGACCTAACTACTGTGCACTGGAAAGAGCTCAATATAACATCAATAATCATAACATTCCAGCCCGAACCGTTTCACATGCCCGAAGCGATGTCTCACGTGGCTCTGGAATGGCTCAACCCGATCCGTCTCACAAGCCCGAAGCAATGTCTCATGGGGCACTGAGCAATATATAATAATAAGTCACGCCCCAACCGTCTCACATGCCCCAAGCGATGTCTCACGTGGCTCGTGACCTCGGTGCACTAGCAGCGGCCAATTAATAAAATACTCTTTTCTTTTCTTATTATGTCGTGCATGCGAGATATTCTATCTGATTATGACATATGCATGCACATGCTCATGAAATATATGCTATGTCCAATAACAAGGACAAATATCACATATCCATTAACAATATGAATACATATTAACATTACTTTCATATACAAATATCAATTAGCAACATAAATACACATTAACATTAAGTTCACATACAAATATCAATTAGCAACATAAATACACATTAACATTAATTTCACATAGTCACATAATCGAGTATATAAATACTCAGTTTATGCATTGTAGTTGAAAATGAACTTTTACTTACCTGGTTCCTTCGTGAAACACAATTCCTAGTTAAACTTGTTCGATAGACTCGATCTTAGAGACAGAACTCGAAAAATCGACTCCACCCAATATCCCTATTATTCTTCTTCTTATATATACATCCAGATGCATTAATTGAACTACTATTTGATCTCAACACATTAAACATTATTAATATGTCTAACCAATTTTGTATAATATATTATTAAATAATGATTTATTGATTCAATTTAATGTAATAAACATCTTAAATGTATATATATCTACACGTGTGTATTAAAGTGGCTAATTCATAAATATATATAATTGCTACGGCAATATAACCAATAAAATTGACTTGGTTTATGTATATATATATATACCACACGTGTTTAGCAATGTTATAATAAATTCAAACATTAGTTAATTTAATTCAAACGTTAATTAATTTAATGAAAGCTTCTAAATAGTATGTATATTTCTAAGACTACTGAATAGAACATAAAATGAATTAAGTTATTTACCAAAAATATTGCAAGGCTTGGGTATCACAGCCTCAGCTCTCGGTTGTGCGTGCTTCGGTCGTGTGCTCACATGCGGTGGTGGCCTAAGGTGCTCGGGTCGCTCGCGTCTACTCGGATGGGAGGAAGCTTTTGAGAGATTTCTGATGTCTCAATTTTTTTTAACAATTTAGAGTGTTTTTTAGAGAGAGGAGAGAAGAAGAGGCTTGAGAAAAAAACTGATCTTTTTCAATAGACTTGAGGGAAAAGAAAAGGAGGATGTGAGATGATCTTCTTTCCAAAAATTGCAAGGTAAAAATGGACAAATGGAGGGAATGTGGTTGGATGTTTGGGGGGTCCTTTGGCCTCAAACTGATTGAAGGGATAAAAGGATTACAAATTGTTACCATATAAAGCTCCTTGGGTGTTTGAATTTTGAATAAAAAAGGGAGCCAAATTTTCTTTAGCTAAAAGGGCCGAATCTAGAGGCTTATAGGGCCGAAAATCCTCTTGGATTTGGGCCAAAAAATGGAGAAAATTACTTGGGGCACGAGTATATATCCTATTAATTGTAAATTAACTAAGGTTCCTATTTTATTTGCATACATACGATGATTA